CCCATACAGATCCAAAGTGTAGTGGAGTGCAACTAATTCCCGTACAAGTCCCGGTTTAGGCTGAGTGTCAGCCTAAACCCTTCATTCCTCACAACCGCATGCGTGCCTCAATGACAATTTTTTCCTTGTTTGGGCAAATGTTTCTGTATGCACTGACTGTGAATCCGAGTTCAGTGTCTGCTTCTCCTTAGTTAAACTAACAGCAGTTTCATATAAGACTATTTTAAAAGCAAACATACATCATCTGCGTTACTAAATATATTGCAGCACTCCCTTTCTTCCACAAGGAACATGAGTGAACTTTTTCAATACTCATAAGTAGTAGGGATTTCAAGCCCCATACATCAACTCCTGCTTTCTTACCATCAGTAAGAGCACACTTTTAGAGGCAAAGAGCCTGCGACCTCAAATGCCGTAACCCGATACTTCCCCGAGAAATATTTTTGGTTGAAATAAAGCTGCCAACCAAATTCAGCATAGCTTGGATTGTGCCGCTAAAAAGTAGACAGGAGAGAACGAAGGGTAAATGCACTGAAAAAATAGAAAGCCCTTTGGGAGAGACCTAGGGCACCCCGATCGGCCTTCTCCACTTATGTGGTATATGGGTAGGTGGTCTCGTCCTTCCAGCGACACTCCAGAGTATCTCCCCTTTCTTGCTTAGGGCCAAGCGTGCACAGCAAGGTATGGTTTGTTACTAAACGTTGTCTCCCCTTAACTCGTCAGCTGCTCTGCAGGAGCCAAGAGCGTGGGCTCTCACGCCCAAGTAAGTGCAAAGAGTTTGCCTAGAGTACCTTTCGCTGTGGAGTAACTTACCTGAAATAAGTTTCCGCTTACCGCGGGTAACATCACACAAAAGCAGCTAGCGTGGACTGGTTAATGCCTTGTAACACATCCTTTCTCACTTCACCACATATTTGGGTAACCAGGTCCTGAGTTAACTGCCCTTTTGCTTTTGATAGAAGATCTGTGCTCTATTTACCTACCAAAGGAGTATTAAGCACTCATTAACAGAAACTCTGGTAAAAAGGGTGCCTCTTGTTATACAGGACTTACAAGAACTTAACAGTCAGGACAGATGACATATTTATATACTGCTCTAACTAATCAAAAACCGCTAAAGCGTTACAATCCCACGCTTTGCCATGAGTACACTAGTATTAATTTCTAGAAGCCAGCAATACCATTTTAGTTACGCTTACTGTAACAAACTGCTTTCTAAGGCATATTGACCCAAGAACCACATGTACAACAATTCCCACTCTGCATGTTTCGGGACTAAGCTTATTAAAAGGGGAATTATCTCATGTTGTCTTCCTCCCTTTCATCTCTCCTCTGTGTCAATCAAGCATTTCAGGATAAAAATGACAGCGTAGTCAACAGCTTGTATAATGCTATTTCAGCGTTACACACACCAGGGACATTATTATTTTTATCAATTAGTAGCATAGTAACACGTGTTCAGAACTGCAGGATTACACCTGACCAAAGGCAGCTGAAAATTTGCTAAGTTCATGAGCTACTTTTTTTGCTCACCTGACTTCTAGAGCTTCAGATTTACAGTATTCCCATAGTGTTCAAATTTCCAAAGTGTAGATTCCTGCAGGAATGTTTGTTATTCCACACTTTTATTCTTTGAAAGTACACTCAGCAGTCTGACGGCTTGTGACTTAAGGTCACCTGTACATTTATGCTTAAGCATCACTTCCTTTGGTAAAAGCCACCCATCTTCAAAAGGGCAGGTCTACCTTTTTCCATAATGGATAGTAAAGTCTTTGAAATAAGCCAAGAAAAAGAAATAGAGAAGAGACCAAGAAGCCTACGCAAATGGTATCACAAGCCTTGCTTTTTCCACACCAAACAGATAACTTACCTTCACATTGTTCCTTTCGGGTCGCAAACAGCACATAACTATTATAATATCTTGTAATATTCCTTGTATGTTTAATTCATTAGTAATAAAAACACTCTTTGCTTACACACAGGCACAAAATGTTATTTGCAGGGTGAAACAAGGTTCCTGTAAAACAATATCCTACCTTTCGCTAAAATTTAGAGTGTTAATCAACCAGTCGCAATCCATTTGAGATGCACGTAAGTTAAGAGCCAGGTCCTTAAAACGAAGCGCAGGCGCATGGCTTCATCTTCGCCGTTCATGCAACATGCATCCTCAGCACAAACTCCAAGCAGAAAAAGGTTACAGCGTAAGTCATGTACTTGCAGAGGATGCTGTACTTGAGCTAATGAAGCTAGACATATTGCAGATGAAGAGCTTATGCAAGATGATTTTTCATTGGAAGAAAACATCTAGGTAAAACTTGCCAGAAGTAATCAAGCCTTTTGCTGCAGACTGATTAAGTTGCTACCCCATTCTATGGTGGCATAGACTAGACTTGCCAGTACACAACCATCAGAATCAGTACAATCAATTACTTAAGGCACAGGGTAATTGTGAGAGGAAATTACCCACAAATTTGAAATATTAAAAAAAACCACCACAAACCACCACGCTATTTCCTCTTGATTACCTACCCTCACCTATCTTCTGAGACTTGCCTGGTGCTCCAGACCAGAAATGAACAGACATCAGTATTAGGGAGCTAAAAAAGCTTTACTCCACAACTTCAACTTCTGCAGAAAAGAGGAAGGAGGAGAAAAAAAAAATATTAAAAAAGACATGAACCATTCTCAAGACACTTACAAATGACGACCATTACACCAGCCTCCTCATCGCCAATTCCTGATGCAGGAAGGTTTGGACCAAGTGGGATGTTTAGGACGGTTAACATCACTGAACACATTTGACAGTTTTTGCCAGTCACATCAACTCTTCTCTTTGAAACACAACAGATATAATTTTTTTCTTTCTACTAGGTATAGGAGCACAGCCCACAGTAAAAACAGGATTTAGATGGCTATTCAAGTGCACTGGCATTGCTTTTTCCACATACTACCTAGTAAGTCTACTGAAGTCAGTGTGAAGCCTTCTTTTACCCCCTAAGAGAATTTTGAGGTAACTCTGAGCGAAGCACCCCACATAATCAAAAATATAGCAGCGTGGCCTAACAGTCATCTGCCAAGCACCCTGACTGACAGCAGCCAAAAGCTTCAGACGGGAGGTAGAAGAATCTCTATGCAGGCAGATATGGCTAACCTCTTCGAAAGATGAGCCTCCCCCTCCAATAATAGGAACGATTTAAAGCCGCAACCACCCACCACCCTTCCAGATTTGGATAAGCTCATCCCTTTTACAAATAGCCACTCCTTTTTGGAACCATCTTACATTTTAGGGTGCAGTTTTACTAACATATATTTAGCAACAAAGTCCAAAAAAAAACCCCCACCGAGAAACTTTTCCTAACACCTCTACAAAAGGGAACAAGAATGCCGCCTGCTGGAAACTATGTGGAAAAAAAAAAAAGGGAAACAAGTTCTGCAGCAAAGCAAAATACACCTATTTTTAAACAGCCAGTTAAAAGATGCAGGGATATTTATGCTGGTCTCCAGTTTACATTTAAGAACTATGCTGGAGGAAAACAAGGTAAGCAAAATAAGAAGTCACAGCAATTGCCACAGACTGAATTAAGTCAGGCAGAACGGTAAGATTACATTACAAGCACGCTCAAGACTGGCTGTTGCCAAAAAGGGTTGGTGTTGTGGTTCTACTCTGTTTGACCCACACCAACCAGCCCCAAAGAACAGAAAACTAACTGTGCAAAAAATGGAACCATTGCCAGGTTGAGCCTTCTGACGTGTTTAAGAGCTCAAACCCCAACACGAGTTCAACTCATTTACTGGGAATCTACCACTTACATCAAACTGTGCTATTGCTCAAGAGAGACCTCCATTTCACTTAGAGAGTCTTTATTTTCAAGATTTTCCGCCAAATCTAAGTCGTATGCATAGCTACTAAGAGTCAGAGGAACAAAGTTAGGCAGGTAGATAACCAAAGGTGACCCCCACAGCCTTTCCCCCCCCCGTATGCTGCCAGAGGGGATGGGGAGCCTCCATCCAGCCACTAGAAAAATCAGTGTCTTCTAGCCAGGTCTACAGAGCCTAGCGCACTCCGAGATGACTAACCTAGACCACAGCCCTACAGCTCCTAGCCACTCACTGCTCCTGTTATGTATGTGCTCTTCATCTCCAGACAGTAACGCACTGAAACCACATACGGCATCCGTCAGCATTTTTAGGCAAAAAAAAAAACCCAAAAAATCATCTCATCAGGAAGCGTAGCACCGGAGTCTTCCTCTGACAGTCACCTGTATGGAAAAAGCTATCTGCTGCTCCTTGTTGTGAAGCCACCCTCACTCCCCCAAACCCATCCGCTTATCCCAAGTAGTTATTCACAAGCCCATCAAGAAGGACCTCTATAATAGAAAATAAACAAGAAAGTGACACTTAAACTTTGCGGCCTCACTCAGGTTTCATCCCAAAACATTTTAAGCATAATTCTTTCCAGGACAGTGAAAACAAACCACTAACTGACCCAATTCTCTAAGGGGCATCGTATCACTTATGCATAGATGAAATAGCATTATTTGAAAGCTAAGGCGCACGATCACTCCTCCCACAGAATACATCCAATTTTTTCCTTAAAAAAACTTCACCTATTACAATTTGTCAAAGACTAACCTGCATTCAGAGGCTCAAAGTAGCAGACCAGTAATCCTCTGTGTACCGCTCCAATATCTACGTATGCAGATTGAATGAAAAGAAAGTGAGATTCACAAGCATCATGCAGAGGTTACTCCCACCAACTCAAAAGGAACACCATGTCTGACTCGGCAGAAAAATGGAATGGTAAATAAAAACTAGTTTCCTTCATTGGCGAGTTACACAGCAGCCTTCCACAAGTAAATGCATTAGTTGCTCTGCGGGGGACCGAGTCAAGACAACAAAAAGCATTGAACATTCTGCAATTTCAACAGGATTATGGATCTAACATGTGATGGCCTTTTGACTGCAACTGTGGAAATGGGATGGCAATACTTCAGAAGTTACAGAAATACTTTTATTGAAGTAAGAACTAGTACGTGCAAAGAAAAAAAAACACACAAACTAGGGAGCTTTCAGCTACCAACAAAAGGAATTTAAAGTGTCTTGGGTTTTTACAACAGACTCCTGTTTGTGACAATATTTCTTGTTACACAGAATTTACAAGTGAAATTCACAAGTTAGATTTATTTTTTTCTTTTCATAAAGTATGATTTGAATTACACCATTCGCTTTCCAATCTTGATCATCAGATCTACAAGGACAGACATCAGGTACTAACAGATTCTTGGACATTTTTTTCTTCATTATCATCTGCATTTTCTTCTTCTTCTTCTTGTTCTACTTTCTCCACCTGAGGTAGAAGTCCATCAAGGTTCAATTGCAAACCTTCACTGGTTGAAGATCTAATAACCAACTTCCGCACAAAAGGACCTAGAAAACAAACACCACCACCAATTCGGTCACTTGACCGCTGTTCATGTCTCCAGGCTGATTCATCTTACTACTAATCCATACCGTGTCAAGCACATGACCGGAATCATAACTATACATGTAGACACATCCCTTCAGTACGGAGAGTTTAACACCCACCCTCGCAGATCAGGTTCAAAATGCAGTTCACACTCTGGTGCCATAAAAGCTACTAACTTGATGGCTACCTTATTCCTTCAGTACCTCACCCAAACATTCATACATCACTAAGAGCACAAAAGAAACCATTCCGAATTCAGGATCCTACCATGAAATGCTGAGGGAACCCTTTGACAAGATGGAAGATTAAATAGATCTCCATTGTACTCTGAGAACATCTGCCTGGTGGTATTTTTAGTCTTGCATTAGATCAGGAATGCCGTTTTAGTGATAACTATGTAGCTGCACCGAGACATGCTATTACATATGGAAAGTCTGAAAGGAACTGAAGAACAAATATCTGGAACTAGTTGGTCTAAGCGATTGATAGCAAGCATATCTAGACTCCATCGTTGTAAAGACGTGTTAATTATCAAGTTTGCTTCCTATCAACGGCAAATATTTTTTCATCAAGCCAGTAAGATACCCACCACAAGAATCAAGCTTGATACCGCAAAATCAGTGGAAATGCTAAGACCAGAAGAGCTTACTCTTACTTACCTCTGCTGGTGTAGGTCACATATAAACTCATTAAGGACAGAAATACCACCACTTTCTGCTTCTATTTACTTCTATTTCCAGTCAACCAACCCCTTATACTTTTCATTTGGGCTGAAATGCTTCTAAAGGCATGTGTACCTGGCTTTTTGTGGTCTGTTCTCTGTACAGCAGTTACTATTAACAGCATCACCCGAAAAGATGCAAGATGATTCTTTTTGCAGACGTTAAGCCAATATTAATACAAAAAGCTGTTTTCTGAGCTTAAACAAGGCTATTCTTCCATAAAATTATGTTCATAAATCACCATTTCCACTCCAGCTAAGCTGATGACATTTGTTTCAAGTTTATTCCATTGTGACAAAGAGCAGACAGCGTATTAGTTGTTCACATTCTTTGCTCACCACAGCGAGCAGAGCCCACAGGAACAACACACAGAATTCACACCTTCACTCCTTCGCAACCTGATCCTTTTTGCTAAGGAATTAAAAAAAAAAGATAACAGCTTTTCCCTTGGAGCAGCAAATATTTTAAAAATCTCTTGGTAATA